AATGATTGTAATTTTGAGGGATGCGAGGGCTGAAAAGTTGTGAGAGGTAGAAGCAGGGGAATGGTGAAGTTGAAGCCTTGAAGAAGGGCGGCGGAAGACCTGTAAGGGTGAGGTGTGCAATTGGGAGATTAGGAGGTAGCGCCCCTGTATGTTTGGGGTTTCTTTCTGAATAATAAAATTTTTGAATTTTTTTTTATTTTTTTTTCCCAAAAACAAAATATTTTTAACTACAAAATCAAACGCGGCGACGCCACTTCTCCAAAGCTTATGTCTGTACTGCCATATCTGTACTGCCGAGAATTAAACAAGCAGAAGGACCCTTCACTTCTTCTAACTCTGATTATCGAGTTCCAAAAGCAAAAACCCATCATCAGATAACTTCCTTCTTATCTGGGTTTTCTTTGCCTCTCAGAAATTTCCCAAAATTTTACAATTCTTATCAACTTCGCTGGTTTTGGAATTAGGATCCCTGTTAATTGTTGTTGGGTTGGTTTTGATTCCCAGGATCTCAGCTTCATTGTTGCTGGGTATTGTGGAGGAGTGATTTTCACGGCGGTGGTATCAGCGTGAGGTACCCTTGATTTTTTCTTTTCTGTTAAGTTCTTCTGTTCCCATTCTATATTTTTGGTTTAGTGATCAATCTGAAAATCAGTCTTGGGTTGAATTTCTCATATTCTTTTGGGGTTTAGTTTGTTGGGGTTAACGAGTAAAAGCGGATGAAATTGAAAGATTTTTTTTTTTTTGGAAGATTTATGTAATTTGAGTTATGATCTGCACTTCTTATTCAAAGTGGTAATATAACTATCTTTGTTAAATTCATCTTCTTCTGAATATTTGCACTTATTTGTGGTTGAATTGGGAATTTTTGTTGAAGTGTCTGAAATAGTTTGACTTTATGTCGGTTCTTGAGGAAAATTTGTAATGTTCTTGGTTACAGTAACAAGTTCTCTGATTTAATAATATTAGAATTTTCTAGGCAGTTTGCTTTCTGATGGATTCCATTCATCAATTTTCCTCACAGTGAGTCATTGCAGGCTCATCTTTTGTTCACCAGCCTTCTTTGTTTTTAGAGTTGTGCTGAGATAGGTCATAATTCCCACTAATCTGACGACTGGTGGTGACCTGAATCCTTCTATTGTCAGCGTTGTTTTCTGTGGAGAGAAAAATCATCTTTGAAATAGTGAAGCAAGTTTAGTTATATTTTCAGCTTTCTGAAGAGCATTATGGTTTCAATCTATGGTATTTACAATGGACATTCAAGTTATTGCAGTTTTGATGACCATGCAAAACACTGTTGTTAAATTAATTATATTGGATTTGGTTTGGATTTTGATGAGAACGTGTTCTAAATACAATCTTCCTTTCTTCGAGATTAAGTTTTGGGGCACTGTATTGTTATGCTTTTTACCTATTAATTTTTTATATCCTTTCAATCCTTGCAGTTTTATTTACTGATACAATAGTGATGGCCAATCCAAATACAGAAAAATCTATAGTCTCTTCTGCAACATCTGAACAAAAGGAAGCACCTGCAGGAGATTCAAACTTGAACATGCTTCAATCTACTATGAACAGGCAAAACCAAAGCTCCTCAGATGGTCATGTAGCTATACTTTGGGATATTGAAAACTGCCCTATACCGAGTGATGTTCGCCCTGAAGATGTAGCTGGCAATATAAGAATGGCTTTGAGGGTGCATCCTGTGATTAAAGGGGCTGTTAAGATGTTCTCTGCTTATGGGGATTTTAATTCCTTTCCCAGGCGTCTTAGAGAGGGTTGCCAGAGAACTGGTGTTAAACTCATAGATGTTCCAAATGGAAGGAAGGATGCTGCTGACAAGGCTATTTTGATAGACATGTTTTTGTTTGCTCTTGACAATCCTCCACCTTCTTCCATCCTGCTAATTTCAGGGGATGTAGATTTTGCTCCAGCTCTTCACATACTTGGTCAGCGTGGGTATACAGTCATTCTTGTTATTCCTTCTGGAGTGGGTGTTTCTTCTGCCCTGTGCAATGCAGGTAAGTTTGTCTGGGACTGGCCTAGTGTGGCTCGTGCGGAAGGATTTGTTCCACCCTCAAAAGCTTTGAAGCATCCTCGTCCAACCGAACTTGCTGGGTATTTCATGGGGTGCCATATAAATGACAATCAAGATGGCCAAAATGGGGAAGAATCAATACTTTGCAGGGGCATTTCACAAAGCTATTACAACTCGAGGGATTTCTCAATAATGTCACAATCTTTATCTGAGTATCCAAGTAATCCTTCTATCACCGCCCCAATTTTCCCTGCAAATTTGAGGTCACATGGTCTCCCATCTGGGTTGACTGAAGCATCAGGATATCATGTCTCTTATGATCACAATGATACCATGTGGGTACAACCTGGTGACGTAAATGGTCTGAAAGGACAGCTGGTGAAGTTGCTTGAATCATCAGGAGGCTGTCTTCCCTTTACCCGCGTTCATGCTGAGTACCAGAAAATGTTTGGAAGGCCACTTTATTGTTCGGAGTATGGAGCGTTCAAGCTTGTTAATCTCTTCAAGAAAATGGGTGATGCAATGGCAATTGATGGAAAAGGCCAAAAGAAATTTGTCTACCTTCGGAGCTCGAAAGCCAGCCCAAATGAGCCTCCTGTTGCTCTGGCAAGGAAGGATAAGAAAGGAAAGGGGACTGTGGAGGAAAACGTGGATTTTGCCCCTGGTGGAGGCTCTTCTGATGACTACTCTGATGAGGAAAGGATGGCAGATGAAGAACAGGATGATAGAAGGAACCTAGGGAGGATTAATTTAGGAATGGGACCAACAGCTGGATGTGAAGTTGATGACAGTTATCTGGAGCAGTTCAAATATGAGTTGCAGGAAATTCTAGTAAGCTATTCTTGCCAGATTTTCTTGGATTGTTTTGAGGCGATATACCAGCAAAGGTACAAGAAACCCTTGAACTATCAAAAGCTCGGTATTGAAAAGCTGGAGGAGTTGTTTGAGAAGGTGAGAGATGTTGCTGTCATGCAAGTAGACCCAGTGAGCAAGAAGAAATTTCTGGCTACAGTAGATGGCTAGCGAAATCAGGCAGCTGCATTTCGTAGTAACCTTTTGAATTCTTTTTCTTCTTTCAACTTGAGAAGGGCAGAAAGTTGAATAAGCTGTATGCTTTATCAGTGCTTGATCTCTCTGTCTCTTATTTTCTTTCCCTTCAAAATTTCCTCCACAAAATTCCGTGAGTTGTGATAGTAGAGGCGGCAAATGCTGTTTTTTTATTTGTGTTTTGCATGGAGTTGTTTTAAATTTTCCATGTAATACTGATACCTCATACCTAGGCATTGTAAACTGATTGACCACTAATTTGAATCATTGTGTACATTAAATCAGTTTCTCTATCTATCTTAGCAAGTATATGAATCAGCTTTGGATTCATTGGCTACTCCTTTTTTTTTTTCAATGTTAAAGCTACTACATATACCCCTTTATTCCATATGTGCAACTGATAGTGTGACAATTCCAGATTTGAGAACCCACATGTCCCGGTATGTCCCAGATATTTTATGCCTTGACTCACACTTCGGTGCCTGTTGTTGACAATCAGCCTCAAGTTCAATCTTGCATCTTCACCACATCCCTGGATCAAATATAGCTTTAGAAATATATTGGAAAGCAAGCTTTAATTTCTCATTAGATATATAGAAAATTATTTGATTACTGGCATAACTGCAAGGCTATAGCATTGTTGATATCAATGTGGAACTAAGCAGTCACTGGCCATTTGTTATTACATCTTTCTGAGAGATTTTAGCAATTTTTGCTATCATTGTCTTTGGAGACTGCATTACCAAGAAGCTGAAATTCTTGGTGGAGCTTTTATCATTGCATGCTTATCCTAACTGCCACAGTGTCTGTTGTGTCCTGTTGCTTCTCTCCTTATTTTGCTCCAATTTAGGTGAAAATGTTGAGACAATTGACAATTTAGTCACTCTATGCTGAAATTTCTGCTCCTATATTAATCACCAGCCAGATTGAACTCAGCTTTGCTATAATTTTTTTGCTATGGAAACTGTTTCTGGTTGCACTGCAGCTTCTATACCTTTCCAAGCCTTCACAGTTTCATGATGCACCAAAACTGTATCTGCTACGCCTGTCAAGCCCGGCTGGTGGTGTTAGTGTTGTTCAAGATGACAAAGATGGATGTCTATGATCCAGAGAGTGACACTCTCACCTGTTGTAGTCTTGTAGTACAGGGTTTCAATGCCACACACCGGGCAAGGGTCCATTTCCTTGTTCGTGTTTATGAGTCCCGCTGCGGAATCAACAAACGTTCCAATGACCACTGTTGTAACACTCTCACAACCTATCCTTGAAATCCATATATAATAGCAAAATAATTTATAAAAAAAAAAAATGATTGCTTTTAGAAAGGGCTTTTAGTTAAAGAGTTTTTTTAATACGTGCAAGACATAAATTAAAAATGTATTAATTATATATTTTTTAATTAATTTATAATAAAAAATAAAAAATAATTTTAAATTTATTAATTATTTAATTAAAATTATATGAATATTAAAAATAATATTTGTTTTTATATTTTTTTAATAAAAATTTATTACATAAAGTTGCAATTATTTAACCCTTACATGTAAGTTAGAAAAATCCTTTGAAGACAGTAAAAATCTAGTTTTAGCATTTTACTTTATTAAATTTATAAGTTTTAGTCTATTATGATACTTTTAGTTTTTTAATTATTAGAATTAAAGGAAATAGTCCTCACTTATAACATTTTGTTAGTTCTGTTAACTGATTATTAGTTGGTTATTAATTAGTAAAAACTTATTTTTAACTAATAGAATTAACAACCAATTAACAAAATTATTCTGTTAGTTTATTGTTAACTCTATTAGTTGAATATTGACTAATTATTAATTAACAAAAACTTACTTTCAGCTAATAGAATTGACAATTAACTAACATAGTCGATAATTAATTAACAAAACTAACGAAATATTATAAAGTAAGGGTTATTTTTTTCAATTTTAATAGATAAAGGGTTAAAAGTATTATAATATAAAATAAAAAATTAAAACTTACAAATCTAATAAAATAAATAACTAAACTAAGTTTTTTTTTTTTAAAAAAAAAAACCAGCATAAAGTTACCGGAGTTAGAAAGCCAATTGATATTTTTCTTAAGGTGCACCTGAGTATAAATTCCCTCTCCGTACGTATTAAAAAGACAAAAAGAGGAAAACAGCATGATGGGAAAAGGATGACGCGACAGAGGGAAAGAAACATGGATGATCCAAACAAACGAAAAAGGAAGACTTAATAAAGTAAGGGGGATGAGGAGTGGAGGTAGGTGTTAAAACCCAATTATGCTTCTACTATAGAGGCAGGTGCAGTAGCAGGAGGAGAGCTTCCTTCTTTGTCAGGTTTACTCTTCCTCCCCAAAATAACCCAAAAATTTTCTACTTTTTATCAACTTTTCTGGGTTTGGAATTTAGATCCCGTTTGATTGTTGTAGAGTTGATTTTGATTCGCAGGATCTGAGCTTCTTTGTTTCTGCATTTTGGGGTGTGCTGTTCATGGTGGTGGTATCAGCATGAGGTACCCTTCATCTTTGACATTAAGTTCTGTTACCTTTTTGCAACTTTGATTTAGTGATCAATGTGAAAATCACTCCTGGGTTAGAATATCTCCTATTCTTTTAGGGTTTAGTTTGTTGGGTTAATGAGTGGAAGCAGAAGAAATTAGAAGAATTAATTTTTTAGTTTATGTAATTTGTAGTTATAATAAGTACTATGGCCAGTTGAATTGTGTGCAGGAGTATCTTTTTAAATTCATCTTTTTTCTGCCAAGTATTTGCACTTCTTTGTAGTTGACTTGGAAAATTTTTTGTAATGTCTGAAATAGTTAGACTTTGTTTCTGTTCTTGAGGGAAAATTTTAGTGTTTGGTTACAGTAACAAGTTCCCTAATTTAATTTATCAGAATTTTCTAGGGCACTTTACTTTCCTGGCAATGAAACATTGCAGACTCACCTTTCTTCACCAGTGTTTTTGGGGCTGTTGTTTTTAGAGTTATGCCAAAATAGCTTGTAAATGTCACTGATATGATCTGAGAAGTGTTCTAAATACAGTCCACCTTCTTTGAGATTACCTTTTGAAGCTCTGTATACTAATGCTGTCCTACTGTTATATATGTATATCCTTTTAATTCTCTGCAGTTTCATTTACTGATGAAATAAATATTGATGGCCAATTCAAATAGATCAAGATCTATGGTCTCTGCTGCCGTTCTGAGCATCTGAACATAAGGAAACACCTGAAGGAGGTTCAAATTTGAACATGCTTCAACCCATTATGAACCAACAAAATCGAAGCTCCTGGGATGGTCCTGTTGTTATACTTTGGGATATTGAAAACTGCCGTGTCCCAAGTGTGGTTCACCCTGAAGATGTAGCTGGCAATATAAGAATGGCTTTGCAGGGGCATCCTTGGATTAAAGGGGCTGTTAAGATGTTCTCTGCTTATGGGGACTTTAATACCTTTCCCAAGCGTCTTAGAGAGGGTTGCCAGAGAACTGGTGTTAAACTCATTGATGTTCCAAATGGAAGGAAGGATGCCGCTGACAAGGCTATCTTGATTGACATGTTTTTGTTTGCTCTTGACAACCCTCCACCATCCTCCATCCTGCTGATTTCAGGGGATGTAGATTTTGCTCCAGCTCTTCACATACTTGGTGAGCGTGGGTATATGGTCATTCTTGTTATTCCTTCTGACAGGGGTGTTTCTTCTGCCCTGTGCAATGCTGGTAAGTGTGTCTGGGACTGGCCTAGTTTGGCTTGTGGGGAAGGATTTGTTCAACGAGCAAAAGATTTGAAGTATCTTCGTGGAGGACCAACTGAGCTTGATGGGTTTTTGATGGGGTGCCATACCAATGACAATCTAGATATTCAGAATGAGGAAGAATCAATAGTCTATGGGGACATTTCACTAAGCTATTACAACCCAAGGGATTTCTCAATAATGTCACAATCTTTATCTGAGTATACGAGTAATCCTTCTACTACTGGTCCTACCTCCCCTGCAACTCTAAGATCACACATTCTGCCATCCAGGTTGATTGAAGCGTCAGGATGTCCTGTCTCTTACAATGACAATGATACCAGGTGTGTGCAGCCTGGCGACGTAAATTGTCTGAAAGGACAGTTGGTGAAGTTGCTTGAATCATCCGGAGGCGGTCTGCCCTTTAGCCGTGTACATGCCGAGTATCAGAAAATGTTTGGAAGGCCACTTCATTGCAAGGATTATGGAAAATCCAAGCTTGTTGGTCTCTTCAGGAAAATGGGTGACGCAATGATGATTGATGGAAAAGGCCAAAAGAAATTTGTCTACCTTCGGAACTGGAAAGCCAGCCCAAATGTATCTCCTGTTCTGGAAAGCAAGGAGAAGAAAGGAGAGGGGACTCAGGAGAAAAACATGGATTTTGCCCCTGGTGGAGGCTCTTTTTATGACTACTCTGATGAGGAAGGGATAGCAGTTGAAGAACAGGATGATAGAAGGAACCCAAAGAGGATTAATTTGGCAAAAGCAGCTTACAAGCAGCTAACGAGCGTCTTCTTACAAGCAAGGAAAAGAGAGTTTAGGAGGAAAACATTGATTTTGCCCCTGGTGGTGGCTCTTTTGATGACTGCGACGACGAGGAAAAGATGGTGGAGGAACTTGGGAGGATTAATTTCCTTCAGAAAAAACTGAAAAGTAGCCTGATGCAGAGTTGCATATATGTGTTTGTGTGTGTATAGTAATATACATATACGTGTGTATCATCAGCGAAACTGAAATATATATATATATAGAGAGAGAGAGAGAGAGAGGAAAATTAACCAAAAACAATGTTTAATCATTAAAATATTACAAAAAAAGATTAAAAATAATTTAATTTATACTTTGAAAATAAATTATTTTGAATTTTCACAATATGAATTTATTAAAATGATATATTTTGAAAATAATTTTTTAAGATAAATGGATGGACATATAGATATATAGAAAGAGGTATTCACTTATATACTTATAAGTAAATTTTACATACCACAATTTTACAAAAATTGACAAAACTCTGAGGCTAGCATTGTTAATATCAGCGAGGAACCAAGGGCAATTGGCTGTTTGTTATTACATCTTTCGAAGGGATTTCAGCAACTGTTGCTCTCATTGTCTTTTGAAACGCATTACCAAAAATGCTGAAAGTCTTTGAATTGGAAAACGTAACTCTTGTACTTCATTTAATAAAATTTTACTTTCCCTGTTAAAGAAAAGAAAAGGGAAAAATGCTGAAAGTCTACTTTTGCTGAAAGACCATAGCCCTGTATGAGCTTCTTGTTTCAGTTTGATGGGTTGAATGTCATCCTCATCTTGCATTTTCCACGCCATACCTCCGGCACCAGCTGCATGCCTGTTCACTAAAAGTACCGGCAGCTGGCTATAATCCCTGAAGGCTGAAGTTTTTGCTTTCAGGCTAAATGACGGTATCAAGGACGCCAGTGATAATGCCATCTCACCAAATCCCTCAGCTGGCCTTTCACTTGACCCTGGAATTTTGGGGTATGGGATGGTGGAGAACTAGCAAATTACAGTTTTTGCATACCTAACAAGACAAGCAATCCATACTGGGATTAAAGAAGTCACAAAGAATCATCTTATTTTTACTCCAAAAATCTGACTCTAAATGACTAAACAAGATACATGACAAGGTAGACAATCCATGCTCGGATTAAATGTCACAAAGAATTATGTTCTTACACACAAAATCCAAAATCTAACTCTAAATAACAGAGGTACAAATCTAGTTGTCAAACTAAAACCAATCCTTTCAGAAATCCAAAATTCTACCCCTTATTTTCACTCATCTACATCTTCAAGAGATAAAAGAAGATACAGTGATTTTATAGTACTTTTTCTTATCCAAGTGCAGACATGGTTAGTCCTCATAACCGAATTCTGGCAATTTCCAGTCTTTCAAATTCAATAATGCAGGCCAAGAACATAACATTTATGCCAGAATTCTCCAAAAACTTTAAGAACAGAAGATGGAAAATTTTAACATGTCTTCTCTTCATCTCCTGTCTTGTTTTCCTTTCTACATATAAGCTCAAAAGTTGTTGGGTTGCTCTACAAAAGAACGACTTTTGATTCTCAACCATGACTTGGTCTAAGTGGCTCAAGTCTCCCCAGTGGTTGTCATCTCGAGAACAAATGAATTACCTCAAAGGGAGAGCATATTTGGGGGAGATTGCGGTGAACCAGTCTCAAGTAAAAAGCTTCTGCTACAATATGACCTAGATGTACTTGAAGAAGAAGGAAGATATCTTGCATCCCCACTGTGAAAAATAGGCCCACTCCTATGTGATTTCCCTCTACTAGTTCTTCCCTTCCCTTCATTTCCTTCATACTCTTCATCTTCCACAGCTTGTATAAATCCACTTTGCATTGGGTCTGAACTCTCATACAAAAGCCGGAGAACCTGTTTGATGGAAGGCCTAGAACGGCCTTCTCTCTGGGTGCACCATCTCACAATGGTCACAACCATCTGAAGTTGGTCTAAGTCAAAGGATTCCTTAATTCGGGGGTCTACAAGCTCTGTTACTCTTGCCTCCGATGCCAAGAAAAACTGGGATGATTCTACTAAATTCTTGCCATCTTCTACTGCCCGCCTTGCAGTCACTATTTCCAGCAATAGCACGCCATAGCTGTAGATATCACTTTTCTCAGTGAGCTCTTGAGTGACCACATATTCAGGATCCATGTAACCTGAAAGCAATCCAATATTTAGATCTTGTCAGTAAACCATAAGAGTAAATCATTGTTCAAGGTTTGAGTAATTTGTCAACTGGCCTGGAGTTCCCCTGATATCAGTGTTAACTGGTTCAAAGCAAATTGAACCATCTTTTGAAGCATGGGCAAGGCCAAAATCTGCAACCTGAAAGATATAATTTAAGAAGTGCATTGATTTGTCATTATTGACACTTCCGTGGTAAGAAGAAATTTCGCAGATGATACAAAAGAAGTTTTCAAGAAACTCTTCTTCAAACATTCGTATTTTTCAGAACAGCTTTTTTGTGCTTCCAAAGACACTTCAGAACAAAGTATTTATTTCTTCTTTTTCTTTATTTATTTTTTGAGAACAATAGATAACCTACTTCTTTTTGGCCATTACAGGTACCGACTATTCTTGTGGAAATCAAAGAGTTCATAGTTTGTTATTCCCAGGGGTTTCCTTGGGAATTGAACTAGGCAAAACATCAAGTTGCAATAGGCAAGAGAAAAAATGGATCCAACATATACACTACCTTTGCAACAAAATTCTCATCCAATAAGATGTTGCTTGATTTGATGTCTCTATGACATAGCGGTGGATCACAATAGAAATGGAGGTACTCCTGCAAAGGAAGGAGACTTGAATGATTCAACTAGAGAAGGGTTTCAAATAGACAAATCTTAACAAGTAATGTAATGAAACTGATCTCTGAGAAGAAAAAAATGAAGCACCATTACCAGAGCGTTAGCAACATGAATGGCAATTTGGATTCTGGTCTCCCAACTCAGAGGAGACCTTCCTGGGGCTGCAAAATGAGGTTGAGCCTAATTAGAACTCCAAATAGTGAACAAATGATGCACATGGAAAATGCGTTTATATAAAAAAATATGCAGAAGAATACAGAGAAGCATACAATGAAGATGATCCTTTAGGTTCCCATTTGCCATAAACTCATACATGAGAAACCTGTGGAGAAAAACGGAAAGGTATATATTTGTGGAAAATGAATCAAAAGTAAAGATATGAATGCAAGAATGAAATACCTGTCATGCTTTTCAATGCAAAAGCCTCTTAGAGCAACAAGATGACGATGATGCAACCTGGCAAGAAGTTCTATCTCTCTGCAAAATTCATCCTCTGCCTGCTCTGAAATGTTGTCCATCCGCTTAACTGCTGCTACTGAACCATCACTAAATTCAGCCTTGTACACAGTCCCAAATCCTCCACGTCCAATGACAGTGCTAAAATTTTCAGTGGCCTTCTTTGTTTCCCTGTAGCTGTATTTTCGGAACATTGACGAAGCACCTGCAATTAGCACCAATTCTGATCAGCCTACTCACCCCACCTTGGAAAGAAAGAGGATTTTTATTACATGCTAATATCAATCAACAAGGGTCAATAAGAAGAAAATCAGAAACATACCTTCTTGAATTTTTCTCATGGGCCGAAGAGAAGGAAAAAGTTTTGAAGGATTCTTATCCATACTCTCAGAATCCTTTAGCTCTCTGCTTTTCTGGCGAATGAGAACTATCAGAAACAACAGCATGATGACGGCCACCAGTGTAACTGCAATGCCAACACCTTGAATTAACGTCAGGTGGTAGGAATGCTGTTTTTGTTTTAGAGGTACCCCCAACATGAGTTGACTTGGACTGGCAGCTAACAATGGACTTGGAGAAGCCTCCGGCACAAGCACAGAGGGGGATGAATCTGACACTATCATCAGAATTTCAGCCAAATATTAGATATAGATCGATGGAGTGGATGGAATTTCATTCACAGTAATCAGCAAAAACCACCACATAACATAGACAACAGATTTTAGTTAACAGAAAGGTAAGTCATTTATAAGGTTGACATAGGAACAATCTAAAGCCTTAATTT